ATGAAGCCTCGGTACAAAAACAAGTCTCTCTACTCAACAATTACTCGTGCCAAATAGTATTCATACACATAGCTTCAATAGGCTAAAGTACCCCAGCAAGTAGGCAAGGTCTGTCCTTTATACAAGACCATATATTCTGGCATACGCAGTTCTGGGTATTGTTCGAGGCTTAATTTCGTTTTGCAGCGATACGCTGCACCCTTAATGTCCTTCATTTTTTTCCGGCAATGTAGTTGTTATAGATACCTGGTGAAGGCAGGTTGTGTGGCTGGGTTTCGTATTAAATTTGATTTGTGTTTGGCTAATAAAAAAAACTTGTTTCCTGTCTGGTTGGTGGTACTCATCGTATTTCTTGATTAGTTGCCATTACTGTCCGAATTTCGTGATTGGTTGGCAGTACTGACCCTATTCCGTGGTTGGTGTACTTCAGTTTGTTTCGTGTATTTGACGGTTACTATATTCATGGTTAGTGTGACGAAATATTAAGCTGCCTAGTGAAGCAGCGGCTTTTAGGGTTGAATGTTGCCGCCAGCGACAGCTCGTATTTGTGTACAGGTACTTCATATTTATCAGGGCTCTTTAAGCCTCCAGACACCTCACGAGACAATAAATATTGGACCAATTTAGATTTTAAGAGAATATATTTACTGGTTCCGTGATAAGCCGCGGACGAGTGGGAAGCATTCAACTGCCAAGTAATATCAAATACATTAGGAAGTTTAAAGCGTATGACAGATACCGTAATGGATGTTAGTGCAGGGGTCACCATCCTCACCATCATCGGTTCACAACCGAAGGATTCATCAGTTCAAATGTCTGTCCTGTCGCAGGGGGCGGCAGGACAGACATTTGGCCATCCATCCTTTCACCTGATGATTTTGTTTACCTAGCAGTAAAAAAGAATAGTCAACTTTTATGGGTTACAGCCTAGGCCATAGGAGGACCTCGATAAACGTAACAGGCTTCCTGTGCCACAGTCGGAAACCACGTACATAGAACTGCCTCGAATGGGCCAGTAGGCTTACCGTAGTATTGAGTATAATTAGAAAATGTCTCATGGCCCAATATGCCATCAATGTTTATGTTGTTCTTACGTTCAAGTATGAGGTGGCAATATTAATTAAATTAATCTATCTCCTTACCGAATGACAGTGTATTTTCTTAGTCTATTAAAATAACTGATGTGAGATTGAAGCCATTAGTCACACTGCTATTCGAGCCACCAGCTGTCCTTGAAGGCAAGCTGTATTGGATGACAATGACCCTCCTGCAAGCATTCTGCGCTTGTTAGTTGGTAGTCATTTATTGTGCACCTCATACCCATCCCGAGGGCAGTGGTGGAATATACAGTGGTAGAACGCCACTTCAGTATTGTGCCCACTGAGTAGTACTTCTGAAAAATCAGATACAGCGTCTCGGAAGTCTTGCATGTAGGATGATGATATCGTAGCCAACATCCACGTGATAAATCGTCAAACTAATGTAACAGCCCTTAAATAATACAGAGCCTGTATCACACACCCACCAGTGTTTACTTCCTTCCACCCACCTCTCCGGGCAAACGACGTTGATGCAACGATGAACAAACGTTAATAACGTTAATCCTACATTGATCAAACTTGATTGGAGCAGGTTTTGTACAGTTATGTCCCATTTGGTGTGTCTATTACATCAGGAGATAGTCTTTGCATAACGACTTGGAGTTTAGTTTAGTTCATTTATTATGCGCATCATGCGGGCAGTAGTGAAAAAAGTTACAAAGGCAACATAATTTTGGTGTTCAGAACTGAACCCCAAAATTAATTTAGCCAAGCAGCTTACAGTCTTGATAAGCTAGTTACACAGTTTCGTGTATTTTACAATATTATATTAGCAATGGGCTCAAAAACGACCACAAGGACCGTGACGAGGGTTCGAACCTACGTCCGAGAGTATCCCAGACGCTGCCTTAATCAATCGACTGAGCTACGACATGGTTAAAAGAATTGCAACCGGGAAATCATCCTGATTTACCAACGGATCCTGCAGTCTCTCAGAGACCCAAACCAGAGTTTTACGCAATTCTCCCATGCACCCGAGCTATGTCAATAGGCTGTTCTACCTCTTCGCCCTTACTTCATTACACACAGAAATCACAATAGCGTGATGCATTATAATGAAGTAAGGGCGAAGAGGTAGAACAGCCTATTTATATAGCACGGGTGCACGGGGGAATTGCGTAAAACCCTGGTTTGGGTCTCGGAGAGATTGGAGGATCCGTTGGTAGATCAGGATCCCATCATCATCACAGCAAAAATCTGCTATCAGAATAATAACTAACTCTGCTTTCAGACAACACTCAGCTCCCTTGTTTAAATCCCTAAACTTGCTAAATATTAACTCCCTCCACACATTCTCTTGTGTCAACTACATTTACAAAACCCTGTTCTTAAATGCAAACCATGCTCTGAAACTCTCCCTGGACAGATGTAATAAGACCCATTATCACCACACCAGAAATAAATATCTCTTTGATATCCCCAGGGTTAAACTTAATCTGTGTAAAAACACTATGCAAATTAAGGGACCTAGTCTATGGAACTCACTCCCTAGTGAATTGAAAAACTGTAAAACTTTTGCCTTATTTAAAAGCAAAACCAAAAAGTACCTAACTTCATCTTCTTAGTTTCCTACACTGAGCTTTAAATTTGCTCTGTACCTAGTGTTACCCAATCTCCTAATTTTTATGTAATATCAAACAACCTTATCATTGTGTTCATTGCTGTCTTCTTTTATGTGCTAGCCATATGCTGTATTGTGCCTACCAATTTTTGTCAACTACCATTCAAGCTGTCATTGCAATCAATCTTAGCTACCTATGTGCTTTAATATACTGTACCTACAATTTTCTCTCATCTTCTTTTTTTCATTTCATGTAACTGTTATCATTTTTTTTCTATAAATTTTGCAAGTATTTACCTCCTTAAAATTTTCTTAGATTAAGGACCTGCCCGAAACGCTGCGCGTGCTAGTGGCTTTACAAGACTGTAATTACCATATTTGTATCCTCACATTCCTTATGTACATTCTTGTATATGCATAAATAAATAATAAATAAATAAATAAATAAATAAATAAATAAATAAAAGGATGATTTCCCGGTTGCAATTCTTTTAACCATGTTGTAGCTCAGTCGGTTAAGGCAGCGTCTGGAATCCTCTCGGACGTAGGTTCGAACCCTCGTCACGGCCCTTGTGGATTTATTCATGCAATGAAATAGTTTTTAAAATTCATATTCCACATTCTCGTCAATAATACACCATACTAATGTAACCAAATGTAATGAAACCTAACCTAACCAAACCTTAACCTAAAGTAACATAACAGTGGAGAGAGAGTAGATAATAGCACTAATTATGTAGTCGTTCCAAATCCATCCCTTTGCACCTCTTGAGTGGCATAATCTTCATCAATCAGTCAGGACAGCTGCACTTCCAGCTGCACCCGTGAGGCAATATAGGGAACTATCAGGGCTTGAGATAGGGATTGTTGTGGACAGAGTACCAATATGGCTTAAGGCGTTGAGCTTTGTCTCAAGACGAAGCTTGGGTTTATCTTTAATTTGCTTCTTGGGTGGAAAGGGGGAGATTAAAATGTGAAAGGCAAGGTAGTCTTCCACTGTGCAGGAAAGTGCCGTTGTTGTCTCTCTGGTACAAATTGTAAAATTTGATACATTCTTAGGTCAGTTCCAATTTTAGTATATTCCGTTTGGAACAATGTTGACCTTCTGTAAAGAAATTCTGGATGGTTTTTGTGCAAGGATTAAGATGAGCAAATCTAAGTACGTTTATATAAACTAGACAATTTCAGTAATAAGATCAGTGACACTTGGAATATTAAGTTCCTCTTTCATATTAAGTATCTTTGTTGTTTCCGGGACACCCAAGAGTAATCCTCAAGGCTTCATTAAGCAATTTTCCAAGCCCTAAAGCCTTTGTCAGGCACTTAAGCAAGCCGAGGTGCAGCATAATCTACGTTTGCACGGTACATAATTTTAACAAGTCTGACATTGGCACCCAACCACAGCCCTGAGCCTCTCTTTGTACTGACGACAGCGTCCGATTACAACATGACCATACAGTGGGACCTCAAGGTCAAGGTATTCATATCTGTTTATGTAGTCAAGCTGGGAGCCATCATACAGTTAGATCTTGCGAACAGCTTCTCCCTGCCTGGGTGAACGCCGTTTTAGTATCTTTGTTTATTTTGCTTAGATGACTAAGCGTAGGCCCTGACCAGAACCTAATACAGAATTAAGGATGTCTTGAGTGTTAACTTACACAGCAATTCGAGTAATGGAAATCACCTTTGACTATTACTTGAGAGATTGTGCCCACCTAAGAGACGTTGGAAATATGAGGAGAATAACTGGCCTTAAAAGATTTCCCCTCTTTGCACCCGCAAAGAAAACGTAAGTTTAGAAGTGATAAATGTTAATCTTCTTGTTTGATAAACTGTTCACTTGAGACAGTTAAGCAAAACCCAGCTGTGTCTGGGTATGACTAAGGTATGGTATGGCTAATATGACTGGTACAAGCAACAAGATGAACAACCCAGCGGGTGTTCTTCCTAATTGGGGGTGTTGAACATGCTTCTATGGCGGTACATGTTCACTCACAGGATGAGTGACGCTGCCCATTAAATTCGCCATTTGGCGAAAAAATAGACATTAGGGCGTGTGGGTGTTGCTGCCACACTGACTTGAATCAGAAGCCAGTGTGGCATCACCAGCCATCTCCACAACCTCGTAATAACATTTCAGCATAGAGGTTCCCGGGAGTCGAACTCCTGATCCTCGATTGTGAATCAAGAATGTAGATCACCGTGCAAATATATATGATGGTAAAAAGACTGCCTTTGATTGTTAGGTCATGTAGCCGCCCTGGTGACAATTTCAAGTTAGTATTTCATATTCTAATTTAGCAACTTCGTACAGTGTTAACTGACATTTTTTTTTTCAGATCGAAAACTTGCCGAGTGATGAAAAGTTCTCCGAGGAATATTATGTAAGTACAGAACACACTGCATGTAATTTTACCTCAATTTCATAATAAAAGTCAGGTAGAGTAAATTTCGAAATATATAGTTAGGCTTTCTAAATTATGACAGAGTACTCAGTTACGCAATTAAATACTAAACCATTTACTTCCCGTGTAGATAGCTAATCCCCCAATTATTTTTCTGGTGAATAGCACGAAATCCAAATAACTAGCAATTAATAACTTAACTGAAATTTCAGTGGACTTTTGCTACTGAGAAAATGAACCTGTTGGCACGGACGAAGTTGATAGAATGGACGACTAGCAAGTGGAACACCCTGGAGGACCTGAAGAAGGTGTACAAGCAGAGTCTGGGAGAACCTGAGGTAATCTTCTAGCTATACCCGATTCACACACTATTTATCTCTGCCATATTCAGAGTACAGTCTACACATATTAAATGATGGACACATTTGTAACAATAATAATAATAGTAATACAATAATTTGTATTATATCAACACTACGTCTCCAGGTTAGGGGATAAAAGCTTCTCAATAATTTTACTACAATTGGACATAGGCATTTTATATGAATTCAATTAATGCTATTTATTTGATTAAATCATAATTCAAATAATTTGTATTTATATAATATTCATTAACGAACATATAACAATGGTTTATTAGTAGGTACATAAATTGCATATTATATAAAGCCATTATATACTAGGCAAAACGTTTCGGACATAATTTAAAATAATTTACTTGACTTATTTATAAATTTAATGTGTGTAATTACCTGGACTAAACATTAGGGCGACGGTCTTGCTTCTCTAATGTATATTATAATACAAATTATTTTATTGGATGGGATGCTGTGTGATGGGGAGTTTTTGGCATCATGTAGCTAGTTTTCTACTCCCCTTCATATAGTCTAAGGTAGCTATACAAATGCAGAGGTACCTAAATGTGTAAATACAAAAACTACAGAAGCCACTTTTCTTGTTAAAAAACATGCACATTTTATAGTGAAAATGATCTGAAGATATAACTATTCAATATCTATATATATAAATGCATATATACTGTATATATATTTCAGTGTATCGATGTATGGAAAGAAGACTGGTGGTTCGGAATTCAGAGGCTTCAAGGTGTTAATCCAAACATTATTACCTTGTGCAACAAAATCCCGGAGAAGTAAGTCATCTATTGTGCTGTCCTTCACCTCTTATACCATCATGGGACTTCTCCTTCCTGTCATCCTACCCCCCTCTCTTGCCCTGCCTGTCATCCTACCCCGTTTTTTTGGACTTCTGCCTGTCCTCCTACCCCCGACTGTCCTCCTACCCAATGCGTTTACTATCCCCTCTTGCACCTGTCAGTACTCTTGTCCTATCTTTAGTTTTTCCCATCCATTCCTCTTTTAAAACTCTAAGTTCTAATGCTGGTTTTCTCATGTTTAGTAATCTTAACTTTTCCTTTCTTTCTAAAATGGGCTATCACCTGCTGCTTCTGTTCACTGAGCAGTAGATAGGTACCCAGGTGTTAGTCAACTACTTGTGGGGTTGCTGCAGCCAGAAGGGCAGTAATATGACATTGGGGGACCTCAATATAAGCCTAACATTTATTTATATAATATACTGTATATTTATTTTGGGGACAGGCAGACTATAAACATTCTGCCTGTCCCCAACAAAATTAATTACTGTACTGTACTATTATTTATTGTTTGTTTCCTTATTAAGCAGTGCTCAAGCCTTTTATATGCTAAACATGCAGTTTAGTTTGTAATATAATATTGCAAGTAAATTATAAAGATTCATAATTTTTGTATATCTATTCATATGTCATGTTTCTCTGTGTACAGATTTGATGTGACGGAGGATACCGTGAAAGGTTTGCTTGATGATCTCTCTCTAGCCGAAGCACTTGAGAACAATAAGATTTTCATCTGTGACTTAGAAATAACTGATAATTTGTCCTGCAAGGATGATCGTGAGGTATGTTGTATATGTATTAATTTATGAATAATATATGTCTTTAAATGTCCACAGATCATCTAGAATTTCTCGATTGCTATGATAATCCTGTTTAGACAATTCTCAACATAATAATATATTACCATAATGTTAAGAGATTAAACTTTGATTATGTTGATGGTTCTTGCAGCTTACTCAGTTTGTGTAGCAGTTTTTCCAAGCTGGCAATTAAAACTAAAAAATAAAAGACATTTTAAACAGTTTATCCTTGGCCTAATGATCTTCTATAGGTTGTTGGCCATGAAGCCCAATAAGAGAGTGAATTTACCCTATCTTTTTCAGTTGGCATCTCCCTTGGCTCTCTTCTACCTTAACAAACAAGACAAGTTGATGCCCATTGCAATACAACTCAAGCAAGCAAGAGGACACGACAATCCAGTAAGTATTACCCTGGTTAATGCTATATAAATATTACTAAAAGGAAAAGTAAGCAATTATTAAGTGAGTTGTCATGTAATTAGTAAAGTAAAAAGTAATTATTTTTTGTTTTCTACCACAGACGTGGCCACACATTTACAATGCTAATCAGCATTTATAAATTTTCTTTTGTCCTCCATGGACAGGGTTAGAGATCTGTTAAGCATATAGATAGATGATTTTGAATGACTTCCCATCCCTACATGGACCCCTCTGTCCACACTCGTAACAAACTATTCCAGTGAACATCTCTATGTTCACCCTCATTACAAACCATACCAGTGAACACCACTGTGTTCACCCACATTGCAAACCATACCAGTGAACACCACTGTGTTCACCTACATTGCAAACCATGCCAGTGAACACCACTGTGTTCACCCTCATAATCAACCATGTCATTGAACACCTCTGTATTCATCTTCAAAACAAAAGACAAGTTGAGAAAAGGTTATAAATATGATTCTAATTTTCAAGTCTAACTTTGTTGAATAACAATACTGAACACTGCATTTACCAATGTCTTAAATCATTTTTTTGTCTCCTAGGTGTACACACCAAATGACCCAGCAAACACATGGTTGGTGGCGAAGATGTTCTATAACAATGTCGAGGCCCAGCATCATCAAGCGCTAACTCATTTGGGCTACACACATCTTCTGATGGAAGGCGTGGTCATTTGTACACATCGAAACCTCTCTCCGTCACATCCACTGTTCAAACTAATGGCACCCCATTTCCTCTTTCTGCTAGCCATCAACACGTATGTTAAAATAATCGCTGTTTGTAACTGATATTGGTTTAGTGTAATATATACATTTTCAGAGAAAAATTTATTCAACATTGACATTTGACAATGAATACTGAGTTGTCATGCAGATTTGTAATATATAAAGATTCACTAAAACATTCAGACATATATTAGTACAATACATAGATTTAATATAATGTATTGTTCATATCATTGTATGCACAAATTTGGATCCCATAATACAATGAGCAGTGTTTAAGGCAAGACTAAAGGGGTAAAGATAATATGTATTAAAATAGTCAGTCACTTAATCTTTATTTAAATAGAATCTATTACTACATGTAATGGATTCTATTACATGTAATTGCGCTACATGATTGGTGTGTACCTTTAGAAGCTTGTAGTCTTTATAAGACCTACTTGAGGGGCACCTGTATATACTGGGAGGGTAAGGGAAGTAATGATGTTTATGTAATGTGTATACATATTGCCAAGCCTTAACTATGAATTTAAAGGATGAACTTTGAATCTAGAGTGTTATAATTAAAAAATAATAATAGTAGTAGTACAGTAGTAATAATAATGTTTAGAATACTGTATATATAATAATTATTTATTCTATCGACGACGGGCAGCCAGTGTATACTGTATATACAACATATTAGGCTTATATCGAGGTCTCCCCCCAAAGGTTGAACTACTGACCCTCTCTGCAGGATGCAACCCCACAATGTACTGACCAACTCCTGGGTACCTATTTATTGCTAGGTGAACAGGTGCATTTGGTGATAGGAAACACACCCAACCATTTCTGTCCACCCAGGATTCAAACCAGGAATTCCTGATTACATTGTACACATACATGGTGCAACATTACAATTTTTATTTAAGCCCTTTAAACATGCAAAGCATTTCCAGAAAATCTTAAATTGGTTTGCATAGGAGATTGTTGCAGTCAGTGCTCATAAATGGTTTCAGTACATCATTAAAAGACCAACTGAACATTAAATTTTATTGTGGTGAGCAAATAAAGCTACACAGTTTAATATGGCAGCACACAGCTGCCATAATTATTATGGTAGCATTTGTACTTCATAATAAAAAACATGTACAGTACTGTAGTTATTTATACAGTTCAGTACAGTATATGTTGCTGTATAAATAACTTACTGTATAAACAGATTACTGTATTTGTTATATATTAATCTTTACTATTTAAAAACTAATTGGTAATTGTGCAGGATTTGGGGAAATCATATCCAGTATTTCAACATAACTTCCTGTATGTTTATTGTTGACAATATAAGATGGACTGATTGGTGATAAAGCTCTGTAGGACAGATTGCAAAATGATATGTCTACACTGGTCAGGGTTACTTGGATATTTATGGCAAGATTTGTCCCTGTCAATGAGAAGTTGTTCAACTCTGAGCATTTTAAGAATTTAAATGAATGAATTATCTTTAGTGAATTTTATCTGTTGATTTCCTGTGTGTTTGTCAGATCTTTAGGATGTTTTGAGTGTCGGATCATATGATATTTGAGATCGTTTTCCTTGCATTTCCAGTGTTCCTGTTAGTTTCTTTAAGTAGTTAACCAAATTTAAATTAAAGGACCAAATTAACATATTAATACTGTATCCTAATATTAATAAATATTAATATATATTAACATATATACTGTATTAACATATTATTTAACATATTAATATGTTAATTTGGTTCTTCTGTTTATAATAATAATAATACAGTATATTATTATTATTGTTATTAATATTATTGCTATTATTATCATACAGTATTTACATCGAATACTGTATAGTGGATCAGATTACAGTGGTTACTATAGTAAATTACAGTTTTATACAGTAGTTGTATATTTTAGACATGCATTAATTATGTACAACATTTCAAGGACAACATAAAATAATAAGTGTAGTAACTGGGATGAATATTATTGTAATTATTACCCAAGTGTAGTTACCTAAGTGTAGTTACAGGATGAGAGGTATACTCAATGTGTCTCATCTTCCCAGTACAGTTCTCTTTGTCGTATAACACTTTGAAACTACTGACAGTTTTGGCCACCACCACCTTCTCACCTAACTTACTTTCCGTCTACCACTGTTTGCTTCCTATCCTCGTTGAGGCCACAAGTGTTAGTGGTTCTCAGTTAAACTTGTTGCTACTGTAACCCACATATAGGGTCTTGCTGCTACCACAACCCACATATAGGGCCTTGTGTGGGAGGAATAGTACATAGACAAAATGGTATCTTTTCTTCACATCCGTGTTGCCTATTACACCATGGTTGGCCATGTTGTCATGGGCAACCAATAAAGTACAGTTAACTTACAAGTTCAAACCTTCTTCACAGTAATTTTATTTCAATTTAGAAATATTTTTGGTTTTGTGTAGTGAGGTATTGTTTTTAAGTCTTGTAGTTTATCATACAAAAGCTTCCAAATGTTTAATATAATGAGTGGATTGTACTTCCTGTAGGAGAGGATTAGAAAAGCTGGTATCTCCTGGTGGTTGGGTAGATACGTGCATGACCCAAGGAGTGAAGGGCATCTTCGAACTCATGCGGAGAGGCTTTGACCGCTGGAGATTTGACCGTGAAGGACAAATTGAAAAGGAACTGGAATCTCGAGGTGTCTTGGACAAGAATGTTCTCCCATATTATCCATACAGGGATGATGGTGTTCCGCTTTATAATGCCATCAAGAAGTATGTTACTGCTGTTGTCACTCATCATTATGGTAAGTCTGGTTCTCATTTCCATTAGTTAAATTGATAAATTAAAGTATTATTTCCTATTGTAGAGGACAGGAAGCCTATTAGGCTTATTGAGCTTCTCTTATCCAATGACTGGCCTTCCCCAGGCTGCAACTTACAACAGTTGACTATCTCCCAGGTACCTATTTACTGCTAGGTGAACAGAGACATCATTTGTAAGAAAACATGTTAAACTTATCTTGTCTTTCCAATAAATCTCACTAAGGATTAATTTTTTGTGAGTCAGCTGTTCTAATCATTGCACTACTCAAGAAGCAAATATAGTGTTAGGAGGACAGATAACCCAGGGAACATATATGGTGTATTGAGAGTAAAATAAAGTGCTATAGAGCAATATTTTATTTTTTATTTTATTTATACTGTATATACAAGTTCTTACATTCTTGTAAAGCCACTAGAATGCATAGCATTTTGGGCTGGTCCTTAATCTTCATTTTACCTGGAATTCAACCAGCAAAATTATTTAAAAACCAGGTACCCATTCATTGCTGGGTGAATAGAGGCATACATACAGTTAAGGAATGGCGCCTAGTCAGTCTTCTCCGGCAAGAATACAAACCCAGGTCAAATCACTCGTGAAGCGCAGGGCGAGTGTGTTACCACTGCGCCACGGGGACCAACTTGGTTAGTCCAACCTGCAGCACGGGGATTGACGCTGTACAGCCCTCAGCCAACCTGCAACACAGTGGTCAAAAAACAGCCAGCTCATAACCAACGGATCCTGGGTTTGATTCCAGGATAGGGCATGACATTTGATCATGTTTCCTGACATATTTTTATTTTATTTATATATACAAGCATTCTTACATTCTTGTAAAACCACCTGATGCCTCTGTCCACCAAGCAATAAATAGGTACCCAATATGATTATGGTATATTTAATATGATTATATTCAATGTGATTATTATACTGTATATTTATATAGAAAAATACTTGCATTCTCTGGTTATACTGTATTCAATTGTAGATACATTGTATGACATTACTATTTTTTATTAGGCTGCTAATATTTAAATCAAATACTGTATAAAATGCTATGGAATTACTATGCCAATAATACTTACACCTTATGTATATATCTTATGACATGCATGACTAATGTAAAAACCAACAGGTTCAGTTAAATTCAAATGGCTTACAATAAAATTTCATAGCAAACCTCAATTAACAGATACGGCAGAAAAGCTGTCGGAAGACTGGGAGCTGAAGTGGTGGCGGAAAGAATTAGTCACAGCTAGAGACAACAATGGAGTTGGATTACAGAATGTCCCTGGAGATTGTGATGGTAAGTCCGTTTATGATTATACTAGCTCTAAGGCAACTCGTGCTCAGAGGGCAGACAAAAATGTCGAACCAAGCACCGGAACTGAGACTTGAATCTCCACTCATGTGATGCAAAGCTGAGTGCTGTACCACTGGACCACTACACCACAAAAGCAAGAGACAGTACACACAGAAATCACAATATCGTGATGCATCAAATGAACAAATCCACAAGGGCCATGACGAGGATTCGAACCTGCATCTGAGAGCATCCCAGACACTGCCTTAATCGACTGAGCTACGACATAGTCAAAAAAAAAAAAAAAAAAAAAGAGTTGAAACTGAAGTTCTACTGAACTTACTGGATCCTGCACCTGCAGCCTCTCGGAGAGGCTGCAGGATCCAATAAGTTCAGTAGAAGTTCGGTTTCAACTCTTTTGACTATGTCATAGCTCAGTCGATTAAGGCAGCGTCTGAGATGCTCCCGGACGCAGGTTCGAATCCTCGTCACGGCCCTTGTGGATTTGTTCAACAGACAGTATTTTTCAACAGATTCAACCCCTTGCCCGGGTGCATTCGAGTTTCATAGTCAACTACAGTATTACATTAAGTCCACATTTAGGCAATAAAAACATACAGTACTATAATTAATTTTGTTGTGGACAAGCAGCCTGTGTGTATATATATATTTTTTTTCTTTACATTCTTGTACAGCCACTAGTACGCGTAGCATTTTGGGCAGGCCCTTAATCCATATATAAATGTTAGGCTTATATCATGGCCCTCACATTAATTCAGGTAAATTTACTGTATTCCAGACCAACATTCCTATACAGCACTGTATTCTAGACCATTAACTTTTACCTTTCTGTATTTTAGACCAACACACATATAAAACAGACAATGGGATATTTTTTCACCCATAGCATAGTAAACCCAAGGAATCACCTACTTGCCAATGCCTTAAAATTCAGCTGGAAAAAATCCTCGGTAATAATAGAGTACAATACCTTTGACAGGTTGCTAGCTTCTTGTTTCTACCAAGAGCACAGAGATGGTAGCTATCCTGTAAATTCAGATAAATTACTTGAAAAGGAAATTAATGTAATTTGAATTTTTCAGGATTTAATTCTGTTGATGAAGTGATAGATGTAGTGACGATGATCATTGCCACTTGCTCCCTGGGCCATGCAGCCGCCAATTTCCAGCAATATGAGCAGTACGCTTTTGTTCCCAACTACCCAGGAATTTTAATGATAGATGTGCCTAAAGAGAAGGTAAGTGTAGCTTGTGTCTTCTTAACTTTAATTATAAACATGATCATAAAATAATTACGAGTAGTAGTGTATGTGACTTTCTACATTCAACATACAGTATAATTTTGTTCTTGGGTAAGTATACAATACAGTAAAATGAGGTTTTCATTTTACATGCTGAAAACCTCTGTGTGAGGTTTTTAGCATGAATATAAGAAAACTAATTCATAAAACACACCAGTAAGTTGTCACTGTATAAGAATCAGAACTTTTACTTTGTTTATAACTATACATAGCTAAAGGTGATAAAATTATCATTCACATTATGAATTATGTGACAAATACTGTATAATTATTAAAAAGATACTTGGAATTCGATAATTTAAATTAAATGGCAACTAATGGGAAGTATTTTACACCTGGCTGAATGAAGCTGCGGCATGTGAACACTCCTTATGTTCAGTGTAACAGTGCTGACTGTATGTAGCGGTGAAAAGATGGGGTACTGTATATTTCTGGGATACAGTACCTTTATTCATATTTTTCTATTTACTCCTCTATTCCTTCTAGACTGATGACCCAACACCCTTTCAGAGGAGAAAAAAGGATAGTGATGATGACAATAATAGAGATGAAATCAGTGACATTTTGAGTAACAATAATTTCATATTTACTTTTTCAATACTTTTCAGAAAGACTATACAGAGAAGGAAATAATGGCAATGCTGCCAGACAAGAGGATGACCTTAGATATCATGGTGATCACAAAACTCCTCTCCAGCAGGGGTACCAACAGCTTGGGAGATTTTGAAATGCAATATCTCTATGATCCAGTGGGTGTTAAAGCAGCAGAGGAGTAAGTATTAACTTTGATATAAGACATTTCTGCTTATTTATTTAATAAACTACTGATCATCTTAAACCTGTTAAATTAAATATACAACAAGATCAATGCCAAGACACTGCAATAACTGTAACTTTTATCATTTTAGATTCCAAAAGGACTTGAAGCGACTGAGCTTAGATATGAAGAAGCGCAACATTGATCGTGACTGGAAGTTTGAATGGCTGGACCCAGAAATTGTTCCAAACTCCATCAGTGTGTAGCAGTTTACAGCCAGCACATGTATTGATGATAATACCAGAGCTTCAATGAGAAGAAACTAGTGCCTATTTTAATTATCAGGGAGTTTTGAATGAAGTAAATTATATTGTTATATACATGTACAATAATTTCAAATAAAATCTGTTTATGAAATATACCATATTTCATAAAAATAATAAAAAATTATGGTTTGTTTACAAAAAAATCATACATTGGTTTAGATAATTACATTTTTAAATGTTTTTTTTAAATTGTAGATTGTACTGTTTAAGGAAGGGAAGTCATTCCAGATCTAAAACTAGTTAACTTTATCCAGTGAGACAGTACTCAATCTGGCAGTAAGAAATGTAATCAAATTTACAATTGTTAAGTGCTATATTATTGTTGCAAATGTTCATTACATTATTGCTATAAATATTCTATACAAGATAGACAACTGGACTTTTAACAAATTCTTCTATTCCAAGTAATCTCAAAATTATTTTCATAAATTATGAAACAAGAGTACCAGTACTGAGGTACTGTATTTGTATTTAATGAGTGAGAGTCAAAGAGATCACCCAAGATATCAATACAAGAGCAGATGGACATAAGGGAAGTGATATCAGAAATGGTGTTAGTGAGGAACAAGTGACTCTGAGGTGTCAGGAAAGCAAGATCATCATCTTGAAAATCTGGAGTTCCTTATGAAGAGTTGTACAATTGTAAGTGAGACAGTGCAGTTTGAGGAAGGTGCAAGTCTTTGTTCCATTAAGTTAGCATGTGTATGACTAATATGTAGCCTAGCCAGAGCCTGTTCCCATTTCCTATTACAGTAGTAAGAAGAAGGCCATAGAAATATACTATGCAGTTTGTTATAATTCATTGTGTCTGGGGAACAGGCAGCCAGAGTGTATTCATATGGGTTAGGCTTATATTGAGGTCTCTTCCCACCCTCCCCCTGAGGTCAAATTACTGACCCCCGCCCAGGATGCATCCCGACAACAAGTTAACTCCTAAGTACCTACTTACTGCTAGGTGAATGGGAGTATTAAGTGACAGGAAATACGCCCAATATTTCTGTCCCTCCTGGGATTATTATTTATTAATACAGTACTCTATTATTTTGTATTATTATTATTATTATTATCGTGTATTGTTATTTTGTATTAATAATAACTGAGTATTATTTGTAATGCTCAACCAGCTATCATCCTAGCAGTTGCAAACTGTGGCATGAATGACAGGATAGAAATCAAAGATAGGAAACTCATTTGGGAGACAGGACTGACATTAAGGCCTTTTCAATTGCGGCATCTGCAACTTCATTACAGGTAACAATAAAATATATTATTTCATACATTGGCTTGCTTTGGTGTTCCTTTGTAGGGAACCAAATGTCTATTAGGCTCATTCAGGTCTCCCAGTGAAGGACGAGGCTATACACATTGTCATCCAACCAGTTTGTGGCCAGACCAAGCAGTGAGCAGTGTTTAAACCATAGACCAAGTGATGCATGCATCATTTACTGCACAATGCCATTAGCATGGTGCAGTGCTTGTATATTTGGGCATTACAGTACAGTATATTTTCTTTTAAACACTTTCACTGAATGCAGGTATATTTAGTATTGAATTAATATCTTGTGAAAGTTACCAATACTGTATTGCATGGTTCTTATTACAGTACGTATTTAGTGCTGCGTCGTAAATTCAAACTAATTTCTCCTATACTGTACAGTATTTTTCATTTTATTTGTAACATTTCGACAAACTTTTTCCTATCTTCAGCCAACATAATACTGTAGCATGTCATAAGTGTATGTACTGTCGAGCCAGTTCAGATCAGGTCAATAATCTGTAAAAATAGTGTGTTAGTGAAAATTATGTCTATTAACTAAAACGAATTCTTCACATATTAGTTGGAATTCAAGTACTGTACAGTACATATAATTTACATAACAACAATAATTACAATTATTACTTGATTTTTTCAAGTACTGTACAGTACATTTATATAATAATAATGCAATTATTACAGTGTATTTTTGGTCAACATCTGTCTTGAAATAAATACTCCATTTGTTGTCACCTGATTTTTAATATAAATAAAATGATTTTAAACATTACTAAGGTTCCATTTCATATTATTAAGTTAATTTACAATATCATGCAGAAGGTCAATAACTCAGCAGTCTCTCTTCAGTAAGCTTTCCGATGCAAACTTCACTAATTTAAATTATGATTATCCTTACAGAAGAATCCTAATTGCTCACTCATCTTGTTTTATATTTAAGTATAATATTAATGAAAGCATAGCTATTCCAACTCATCCTCCAGAAATTATAGTAGTTATAACAACTGTTGTATTCTGCAAAAAAGTTCAGATTTTGTACTACTGAAAGGCTCCAAATGGCATTCTAAAATATGGAATAGTAACTACAACTAATTTAACCTGTCCTAGGTCAATATATACAATCCTAGACCTAATATATATATAACTTTTAGGCCTAATATGTGCTATTTAGGCTTAGTAAATTAAATTTTAGGCCGTATATATACCGTTTTCAGTGCAACATATGCCATTTTAGGCCTAATTTGGTACATATATTGTCCTATGAATATTTAAGTATAGTTGTTGCCTTTTTTCTCATGCCCCCTTCTAAATTAATAGTACAAAATGTCATATATTTTTGGTGTAACAGTACATTTTTGTACATTCCAGCAATAGTTGCTGTAAGTACTGTACTACTCAAATTTTTGTGATGACTAAATTGGATATTCCAGTGCTAGTGTTGTTCTAGGGTGTTGACACAGTACTTCCAAGGAGAGAGAGAGAGAGAGAGCAAGCCATTTACTGTACCTATATGGACAAATTAATTTGAATCCATATGGTACTTGGAATGATAATTCCAATCACTTTTCTGCATAAATGACTCATTTATATATGTACTGTATATATATTACTGTATCACCAGAAATGTCATTACAATTATTTATTCATTCAAATCAAAGAGCGCAGTATAACAGATTACTGTATCATCTCTTGCATTCTTATTCATAACTCATATTCTCTCTAAATTATGCAAAGTGCATAATATATCAGGGGGAAAATTTTCTGTGATTTGTGTTAGAGGAAAAAGTGTGCTGCTAAATGCACTTCATTTACAAACTGGCAGTACTGTATATTTTACCTGCTGCTTTTAGCATTTGTTGTTTAGTGTATAATGTATTAGAGATTAAATATAATATTTTTTATCAGTTAACCAAAATAACATCGTGATATAGAGAATTTAATGTGTGTGAAAGATGGTGATTTTGTTTCTGTTAGATTTATTAGTGTGTGTGTGTGTAAATATTTTCTTACATATGGAATGACAAGTTTTGTGGCCCTCTGTATTGTTCTTAAGTGAGTGCATCAAATATATGATGTGAAATTGTCTGTTAGTGTATAATAAAGAAATTTTATATATATATTTTTTTTTTTACAGAAGGAAATTAGTACTGTAAATTCACTTCAAGCTCTGAATGTTGTATATTAATAGCATGAAGTTTTGGACTTGTGTATATTATTTGCTACAGTATCTCCAATCATACATAGCATGCTATACAGTATATACTATTCTCCTAAAGCCTTGATAAAACATCTGCTTTAATATTATGCATCTTATTTTTGTATTTAAAGTGCTACCCATCAAATATAAGAAATACATGTATGATTCATTATTCTGGTTTTCATTAACATTTTTTGGTAGCGGCAATGAGTATGTGTTACTAACAAAGCATCCTATAGGATGTGACAACTAAGGAAATTTTTAGGAAAAAGATATGTTATAGGAATAAAAGGTCACTTAAGATTATGTTCATAATGTTAAGAGCCAATGCTCCTTTGTCTATAAGGTATGTAATGTTTATATTCATGACACCTATACCTGGTAAGACATCGTCTGTTGTCTAATAAAGGTTAGGTTTATTGCCTAATTGCCTAATATAGGTTTCGCTAGGTGGTGCAACATAGATTTCTGTCCATTTTTGTCCTGCCCGGAATATTTCTGTCCGAGGCAGGGCAGAAATGGTTGGGCACATTTCCTTTCATCTAATTCCTCTGTTCACCTAGCAGTGAGTAGGTACCCAGTAGTCAGTCAGCTTGTTGTGGGGTTGCATCCTGGGCAGGATCAGTAATTCGGCCTTGGGGGTGGGGAGGGCCTAGATATAAACCCACCGTGTATGAATTCACTCTGGCTTCCAGTCCCCCGACACAATGAATTACTGTATAATTATTAGATACAATCAAATTAGTAAAGTGCTAACATATGTACATAGACAGATACATTTTTCAAAGGTCCTAATACATTTTCTTAGACTCGCATCTATTTTGTCATTTAAATCAATGACACAGATGACTCGCATCTATTTTGTCATTTAAATCAATGACAAAGATGACTCGCATCTATTTTGTCATTTAAATCAATGACATAGATGAGAATATTACAAACCACATCATCAAATTTGCAGAGGACACAGTCCGTAGAATTACCCAAATCTACTCAAATCTACCCAAATTTATCCAAATCCTCCTAGCATTACGTAAGTAATGAAGAAATATGGTATATTTATTTACAGTAATGTTGATGTTGAATGCAGAACATGATCAAACCTATTTTTACTCTGAAATAATCTAATTTCATAACAAAATTAGAAGTAAATATGTAGCAGGTGACGCCATAGGAAGTCGACGGTCCAAGCGACAATGTTGTGGAGGGAATTATCCAAGATATACAGTATGGTCGCCTGGAGAATGTTGCCATATCAGCTTCCTGTACACAGTGATCCAGTCGTCACACTTCTTTGTTCAAATTGTCGCAAATATAATTAATGATATTAACAAGTAGAATGGGAATTTGAAATAATATCTTTCATAAATAGCCACAAAATATTAAATATTTATTTAAAAAAATGTGTCTGGAAGTTAAATCAACTCCACAGGACAATACTTTTGTTATAATAGATACTAACGTTATTTGTTGGTATGTGTTCGCTACTTAAACTACTCATGTCCTTTTTTGCTCATAAAACACTGAACCCTACACACTCTATGATATATTGCTTAATTAATAGAGATTCACAAATATAACTTATATTTGAATATGTTATCAGAAAGGCAGAGATAAAATAGTTTTTGTGAATCCATCACATAGATTATACCCTTTTAAACAGGAAAGATATATATATTTTAAACAAGGTTTCTTGGCCAACGCTCTCCCTATCGATGGAAACTATGACCTTTCGAAGATCAATGTTAATTTAATCTAGATATTGTAATAAACAAAGTTTTCTATGTCATAGTGTCTGGACACTGTGGTGCCTAGTGTCTGGACACCATAGACCTAGTGTCTGGACACCCTGGTACCTAGTGTCTGGACACCTTGGTGCTATGTGTCTGGACACCATGGACCTAGTGTCCAGACACCCTGGTGCCTAGTGTCCTGACACCCTGGTGCCTAGTGTCTTGACACCCTGGTACCTAGAGTGCAGACACCCTGGTTTCTAGTGTGCAGACACCCCTGGTCCTAGTGTCTGGACACCATGGTGCCTAGTGTAGACACCCTTTATCTAGTGTCTGGACACCCTGGTCCCTAGTGTCCAGACACCCAGATGCCTAGTGTCTGGACACCATGGACCTAGGGTCCGAACACCGTGGTGCCTAGTGTACAGACACCCTGGTGCCTAGTTTTTGGATACCCTGGTACCTAGTGTCCAGACACCCTGGTGCCTAATGTCCGGACCTAGTGCCACCATGGACCTAGTGTCTGGACACCCTTTTGCCTAGTGTGTGGACACCATGTACATAGTATCCGGACACCCTGGTGCCTAGTGTCCAGACATCCTGGTGCCTAGTGTCTGGACACCCTAGTGTCTGGACACCCTGGTGCCTAGTGTCTGGACACCCTGGTGCCTTATGTCCAGACACCATGGACCTAGTGTCTGGACACCCTTTTGCCTAGTGTGCGGACACCATGTACATAGTATCCGGACACCCTGGTACCTAGTGTGCAAACACCCTGGTACCTAGTGTACAGACACCCTAGTACCTAGTGTCCGGACACCCTGGTGCCTAGTGTCTAGACACCCTAGTGCCTAGTGTCCGGACACCATGGGTGCCTAGTGTCCGGACACTGTGGTGCCTGGTGTCCAGACACCCTGGTACCTAGTGTCCAGACACCCTGGTACCTAGTGTCCAGACACCCTGCTGCCTAGTGTCCAGACACCCTGGTGCCTAGTGTCCAGACACTATGGGTGCATAGTGTCTGGACACTGATGCCTAGTGTCTGGATGCCTAGTGTCCAGACACCAGTCCTGGTGTCCAGGGGCCTCGTAGCCTGGTGGATAGCGCGCAGGACTCGTAATTCTGTGGCGCGGGTTCGATTCCAGCATGAGGCAGAAACAAATGGGCAAAGTTTCTTTCACCCTGAATGCCCCTGTTACCTAGCAGTAAATAGGTACCTGGGAGTTAGTCAGCTGTCACGGACTGCTTCCTGGGGGTGGAGGCCTGGTCGAGGACCGGGCCGCGGGGACACTAAAGCCCCGAAATCATCTCAAGATAACCTCAAGATAACCTCAAGATACCCTGGTGCCTAGTGTCTGGACACCCTGGTGCCTAGTGTCTGGACACCATGGTCCCTAGTGTCGGGACACCCTGGTGCCTAGTGTACGGACACCCTGGTCTCTAATGTCAGGACACCCTGGTGCCTAGTGTCTGGACACCCTGGTGCCTAGTGTTCTGGACATTGTGGACCGAGTGTCCGGACACTGTGGTCCCTAGTGTTGGGACACCTTGGTCCCTAGTGTACGAACACCCTGGTGCCTAGTGTCCAGTCACCATGGACCTAGTGTCTGGACACCCTAGACCTAGTTTCTGGACACCTTGGTGCCTAGTGTCCAGACACCCTAGTGCCTAGGTGCCAGACATCGCAGTGCCTCATGTCCAGACACTGTGGACCTAGTGCACGGACACCATGGTGCCTAGTGTCCGGACACCCTGGTGCCTAGTGTACAGACTCTGTGGTGCCTAATGTCCGCACACCCTGGTGCCTAGTTTGCAGACACCTTGGTGCCTAGTTTGCAGACACCTTGGTGCCTAGTTTGCAGACACCTTGGTGCCTAGTGTCTGGTCACACTGGTGCCTAGTGTCTGGTCACACTGGTGCCTAGTGTCCGGACATTGTGGACCTAGTGTCCGGACACCTGGTGCCTTGTATGTGGAAACCGTGGGCCCTAGTTTCCAGACACGCTGATGCCTAGTGTCTGCATTCCATGGACCTAGCGTCCAGACACCCTGGTGCCTAGTGCCCAGACACCATGGACCTAGTGTCAAGACATCCTGGTGCCTAGTGTCCGGACACCATGGACCTTGTCTCAGGACACCAAGGTGCTTAGTTTCTGGACACCATGGACCCAGTGTCTGGACACCCTGGTGCCTAGTGTCTTGACACTAGATTTTGTGTCCGGACACCGTGGTGCCTAGTTTGTGGACACCCCTGGTGCCTAGTGTTGTGTAGCCTGATCAACCAGGCTGTGACTCATACGTCAGGCTGCGAGCAGCCGCGTCCAACAGCCTGGTTGATCAGTCCAGCAACCAGGAGGCCTGGTCGGCGACCGGGCCGCGGGGACGCTGGGCCCCGGAAGCACCTCAAGGTAGTGTTTGGAAAACTGAAGTAAATGGAAGAGAGTAAGAAAGGGAGGGGGGAGGGAGGAGGAGGATGAAGGAATAGAAGAGAGGTCGATAGAGAAGAGAAAGAAATTGATTAAAGCAGAGAAACGAGAACTAAAGTGTGGATAGCGAATAAGGGTTAAGGTTGGTGGAGAAGAAACATTGTGGGGTTTTATATTGTCCGGACACTTTCCCCCAAGGAAAGTTAAACATAATAAGTTTTAATATGGTTTTGAATAGTTTTCTTAAACAAATGCAAGATTAATGTAAGTTCAAAATAGGCACTTTAATGACGATGAAGCTGGTTAAACGCAATGTGGTATTTGTGAATTCTTTATACCGAAATATTAAGGGCATCAAGAGCAGAATTAGAAGCAATTAGGACTAGACTTGAAAACAGTGACTAAGTTGGAATGTGATTTGTATTTCTTTACGAACAATATATTAGAAGAGCAACAGCTTAAGTTAGTACAATCATATCAATGTTTGGTGATACCGAATGTCTGGGAGTTGTAGTCCGGGTGTTATTGTCCGGAGATTGTAGTCCTGGAGTTGTAGTCCGGGTATTGTTGTCCTTGGATTGTAGTCCTGGAGATTGTAGTCCGGGTATTGTAGTCCGCCCAGAGGTAATCACACTGTAGAAGTGTATATGAGGTCTAGCTAGCAAGGGTGCGGATAGAGCCGGCCGCCAGCCACAACAATTACCACCCAAGAAGGAAAAAGGGTTAATTATATCTAACAATCACACAATCATAAAATTAAGTCAAAAGGCGCCACATCTAAATATAGATTCTTCCAATAAAAATGACACAAAAAGCTAATTGTAAAACTGTTGGAAAAAGGTTGGTCCTCAGCTCCAAAATATGTCCACACAAGAGAAACAAGTGATAAACGCAGCGGGAAGAGGAGACGTGAACAAAGAAGTGGGTGGCTAATGAGGTCCTTGAATGTGGCCTGACGTCACGCCTCGAAGAATGGGGATTAGAGCACAGCTAATTATATGGGATGGGAGATGG